CCCTCCCTTCCTTCAAAATGCAGGCTATACATTCAGTTGCTTGGCACCATGAAGGAAAACAGTTCATTTGTAGCCATTCAGATGGTACCTTGACCATATGGAATATAAAATCCCCTGCCAAGCCACTTCAGACAATCACTCCACATGGTAAGAAAAGAATGAAAACAGTGTCTGATAGTTCTTACGTTGGAAATATGGGATTAAACTTTCTGTAAAATCCTATTTTATGTAATTCTGGGACTTAAAAACTGCTCCACCAGCAAAAGCAGTTTTTTCTCAGTGTTTTCCCAGGTGTTTGCTAATGTCTTCTGCAAAATCCAAGCTGTTTATTAAAAATAGTTTCAAGCCCTTATGAGAACAAACTTTCACATGTGAATTGTGTAAATCACTGCTGCTTTAAATCTTCAGTTACATCTCCAGTGAAATTTTTGGAAATTATTTCACAGATGTCTGAATGAATGCAGATTTTGCATTGTGCTTAATGTTGCAATCTACGTATTGTTTAAAATGTTTGTGTGGATAAAGAAGTATCCGTTTTTGTGTATAAATACACTAATATGTAAATTCTTGGAAGATCAAAATTGTGTTGTTAAATTCTTGAATTATGCCCATTACAAAACTAGTAGCCTAATGTAAGGAATACTGACTTGAAATACAGTACAAGCCCTTTTATCCAGAACTTCACCAACCAGGAAGCGCAAAACCAAGCATTTCTGGTATGCACAGAATGTTCATTTTATAGTGCAGTTTCTCTAGGGTAGCAGGTTGGGGCTAGGGCATCGAAAGGGCTGCAGGATGTGCTCTGGGAGGGAATTTGAGTCCAGGAGGGGGCTTGGGACAGGAGTTGAGACAAGGGAGGAGGTTGGGGTGCCAGATGACGGATGATTACCTCCAGCAGCCCCCACAAATGGCTCTCCATCCCTGCTATTGCTGCCAGAGGCATGGCCACGTGGCTCTACAGGCCTGCTACCTGTATTCTTCCTCCCCAAGTGCTTGGCTAGGAAGCATAGCCAGTGGGAGCTGCAGGGAGCAGTGTCTGCAGATTGAAGCAGTGTGCCCGCTTGGGGTAAAGCCACCTGAAGTGAGGGCCCGCCCCAGTACAGCATTCTGACTCCTCCAATGCCTCAATCCCCACCAGACTCAAGACCTCTCCTAGAGCCTA